GCTTAAATGGTAAAATTGCAAAATATATGGTTTTTAAGAAAATTTCCAGACAGGAATGGGAGTTTGGATCCATAAGCCCAGAAATTCCTCCAGATCTGTTTAAACAGTGCTTGTAAGAATTATCCAAAAATTTAAGGGTTGGCATTAAAAACAAGGGAAGGAGGGAAAGTGCAGATAATAAATTTTGATTTAGATTGTCGCCTAATTGTATTGCATTATACTGGCACAAAAGCCTGTGAGCTTCATAGGGTATAACAGTTTATACAAGGAGACCATTAACATATTTAGTTCATAAATCCATCTGTGCTGCATCATGAATGCTATATCTATGATATTTTAATGATGAAATTTTTGAGGTTCTGAACAATAAAATTAATTGAGAAGAATGCTTTTATGTTGAGAACTGGCATGATTTAGACGGAATATTCCGAAAATTGACCGGGCGGTAATTTGCCAGTATGTCATTATATGATGTATAAACATTATTGTGTAGAAAATATACTGCAGAAGGGAGTATTAATTAATTATTGATTTCCAAATACCAATTGGCTTTTTGATATAATGAAGTTTCATGTTCTCTGCCATGAAATGTTTTATTATTAGTGAATTATCGAACCTCCTTGCCAGTTTCAAAAAGATCTGACTCAGACTGACTGTCAATTAAAACGTTTTATTTGATTAAGTTATCTGTATTATATATGTCCTTTAAAGACTTTTCTTATTTCAAACCTTGAAAATAATCTAAGCAAACTTGTTTGTCCTAGAGAATAACCAGTATAGTACATGTACATTAGCTCGGATCAAAGTTCAAAATTCGCTTAAAAGATTCGTGTTATATGAAAAAGACATAATTTAGACAATAATCTTCCGACGAAATCTTTTTTTTATTCCATTAAGCCAATTCCTATAGGTTTGGAATGAAAAAAAAACATAAAATGATTTTTTGCTTGGGGACATGTACGTAACTCTTAATGGGTTTTAAAACTGATCAACACAAAACTTGTGTAAATGTGTGTAGCGGGTTTGATCATCTGCGACACTCCCATGTTGGGCTTTCACAGAGATTCAGGATGTAAAAAATTGCATTATGGTTTAGGTACAATGCTCTCCAGGGAACGCTGTCCACAAATTAATTTATTATATATACACTTGACGTTTGGTTATGACATCGTGATAAATCACCATGTTGTGAAACCTCATAACTGTTCCGCCTCCATTGTACTACGATTTATCAAACGTACAAGGTCTGAAAAGTCAAATTGTTTTTAATAATTTGCATAAAATGAATATCAAAATTGTTAAATACAGAAAAAGGACATTGTGTAAATGGAGTCTGATAAATATTCATTATATGATATCATGGTAATGTTTGACTATATAAAACAAAAATAGAGGCATCTTGTTTTTCATCATACATATAATAAGCTGCACGGAATGGCGGCCCGGCACCACTCAATTTTGATGAACTTTTTTATTTACGTTTTATCACTTTTGAATCACAATGAAAAAATACTGAGAGGATGTACAAAGTTCAGTAGTGAAACTTTTTATTTATCATGGTAATGTTGACTATATAAAACAAAAATAGAGGCATCTTGTTTTTCATCATACATAAAATAAGCTGCACGGAATGGCGGCCCGGCACCAATCAATTTTGATGAACTTTTTTATTTACGTTTTATCACTTTTGAATCACAATGAAAAAATACAGAGAGGATGTACAAAGTTCAGTAGTGAAACTTGTTATTTACGTTTTATCACTTTTGAATCACAATGATATACAGAGATGTACAAAGTTTAGTTGTGAGTCTACATGAATATAGTTTGGTTTTATTTTGTTTAACGTCCTATTAACAGCTAAGGTCATTGAGGACATGCCTCCGATGTGTGTCTGGAGACTGCTCTCTGGGTTTTTATTTGTAGCCAGATTCGAAGTCCGTACAAATATCTTCCTACTACAGATAATTCACTGGATAGTTTCATGAAAAAATTAGAAGAATGGAAATAAAGTTGTGATAAAATATACTGCCTTGTTTGTATTGAATACTCACAACTTTAACTTTTTTTTAATCCCTTGTGGTCTGGAGGGAATTAAAAGGTACATACTAAAGACAATTGGTTGGATGCATATATGGGGATTGTTAATTGTCAAGACTGAACCCCCTCTGAAGCCCCTGCTAACCCCCCATGTCCACCCTCGTCCTGGATCCATAATTTTTCAACTGTGTACTTCTGACATAGATCTAGATCTATCAGGATCTATCATGTCTTGTTTTGGCCCATGTTGAATCGGGATTATCAACGGCAGAAGGGTGATTTGAAATAAGATAATTGTGAAAAGAAGGAGCATATCATGTACACCATGTTGTTGGTTGTTCTTGAGGTGACCGTGTGTCAACCTAAGGTCAGTGACTGATAAACCAGTGTTGTCAGTTACTTTTTATAAAAGTAACTACACACAGATCTCTCATAAGCTAATTGATATTTATCTCTTAAGAAATCAACAACAGACTTTAAATCATACCACGATGCCTGTATTTGCGATAATCTAAATAAATTTACAAATTAAGTTTTGAATTATTTACAATTTTATGCTCTAGTTGTTGCTGATTCCAAAATACACCTTTTATTTTCGAACTGAATTATTCTTTGATATATAAGTTAATAATTAACCTTTTAAAGTTTATTACAAAGCCCTTGGGGCTTGTAGTATGCAGGATAAAAATGGATGTGTATTGCCACAAATTTTAACTTGAAAGGAAAATAGGAAAACCGTAAAAAATTCTATTAAGCTAGCTTAAATTTAAATTTTGTAAATAGATGATTCACACAAAAGATTGAAAAGTTAATTAGTAACCTTGGGGGTGTATCAATTTTCTTTACTCATTCACCCCTGAAATTTCATCATGAACTTTTCCAACCTTTGAATTGGAAGGGTTCAAATGTGTCTTTAGGGGTGAATGAGTTAAATGCAAGATTTATTTGATGGAAAGCATGTTTGCAGTATTATTGTGTATCCATTAAAATACAGCATCTTTTTACTACTGTAGACCATAATGGACTCGTCAAGATCAATGCATGATAGAGTCTACTAAAATTACATAGGGGTGAAAGGGTTAATACACTTTAATTAATCTGTAGGTACACCATTTGATAAGTAGGTTAAGATTAAACTTGCTAAATCAAAACAAAACTTTGCAAGTGCACAACAAATTTATGTGTAGACCCTTGCAGTCTGCAAGTATCATAAATATGGAAGTAAATCTTGAAGGTAGGGTCAAGTACCTGAATCTACAAACATGAATACAAGCCTAATACTTGTTATATTCATTTTCAGGTACAAAGATAAAATCATTCGGGGCAAAATTGAAGCATTTTCCCTTTTTTAAGAAAACTCACCTTCAATGAAGCAGATCTTGATGATGTCATATTTTTTGTCTTTGAAAATTGTTTGGTTTCACTACCTTTGTGATGCTGAAAATAACCATTCTTATTAAGTAATTGAGTTTTATGAACAGTAAAT